ATCCGAGAGACTTTGTACTGAATAACAGGCCCAATCCTTTTAAAAAGTTTTATGTTGAGACAAGGTCTTATAAATTGTGCAGAGAGGACTTGAACTCGAAATACTCCTGCCTCAGCCTCCTGGTAGCTGGGCTGCAGGTATGTGCCACCGAGCCTGGCTCTCTCAGCTACTCTTCACCCAGCGTGTGGTTAGGGAACCAAGCTGCAGGTCAAACCCAGCCTTGTCCGCCTGCGACTTTCAGTGTTCTCTCCTCCTGAAGCCCACCAGAGTCTTTAAAAAAGGTCTCTTCATCCTCACATCAATGTTTGGGAGTGGTGACATTTAATAAAACCAGCTGGGCCCAAAGCAGTTCGGTGTCGCACACACAGCAAGGGAGAGCTGTCTTCCCCCTGTCAGAGCAGGACTTTGGAGGCCTGCAGGTGGGCGTGTGCTGGCGCAGCCCAGTGTGGAAGCAGAATGCAGTCAGCGCTTGGGCACAGAACGGTTGTGTAACCTTGGGCTGGTTAATCTCAGCCTCTTTTTTTTTTCCTTTCAAATGCCAAAGCCTTAGTTATGGTAGTTTATTAATTAGGGCAAGCTGGGTGTCTTGGTGCAGGCCTATAATCCCAGCACTCATGGAGATTAAAGCAGGTGGATCCTATGTCTAAATCCAGCCTGGGCAATTTAGCGACATAGTGAGATATCATCTCCTTACAAAAATGAAAGAGGGCTGGGGATATAGCTCAGCGTGAGGGCCTGGGTTCAATTCCCAGTACTGCAAAAATGAATAAGAATGATTAAGGATAGCTTCAGTAACAAATAAGTTCCCGGACTATATACTGACTGGTGTAGAGTAATACAGGTATTTTTCCTCTTCAGTGGATTACAGGGCGCTTCTCTTAATCTGGGTAACCAGTATCTAGTTAGGGCCCAGGCTGACAGGAAGGTTTTTGTTGTTTTGTTTTGTTTGTTTTTGTTTTTGTTTTTTGGTCTTTTTGAGACAGGGTCTCGCTATACATTTTTCGCTGGCCTTAAGCTCACTTTGTAGCCCACACTGGTCTCGAACTTGCAATTTACAATAGTCCTCCTGAGTATGCCACCACACCTGGCTAGAATATCATAGTCTTGTCAGCTAACCAGCAGGGAGAGGGTCTGAAGTAGCTTGCTGGGAGGCTCTGGGCCAGGTCTGGAAGTGCAGCTCCATGCCCACTCCTACCCAAAGCCCACTGGGTAAGCCTGGGTCACATGGTTGTGGATTGTTGCAAGGGAGACTGGGAAATGTAGTCTGACGTCTGAACATTGTTCATCTGGTTGTAAACTGGAGGTAATAACTAATCCCACTCCTGAATTCATTGTGAGGTTAAAGTGAGTTAGGGACTGGCGCAGAAAGTGCTCAGTACAAGTAGCTTTCCACCCGCTAATGCTGAATCAGAGGAATGTGCTGTCGCTCCTGCCTGCCTGGCTTCTCCCCTGCTAGCGGGATGGAGATGCAGAAGCACGCTGGGAAGGCTTGCTAAAGGCACAGAGCCTTAAGGGGAGCAGATCGAGTCATTTGCACCTGGCTTGTGGAGCTGAGATCCTGCAGACGGGGTTTGACAGATACTCCTGTCAAGTCCTGCACGTGGCCGGGGATGTCAGTGCTCCTGTACAGCGGCTTGCTGTGGTGCTCTGGGCCGACTTGCTGTAGCTGGGGCTTTGTCCGCTTGTTCCTTCATCCTGCAATTATTTACCAGACATCTATTGGCACCAGGCATGGTGCCAGGCTCTGGAGATAAATCTGGAAGGCACAGGCCTGGCTTGCCTGGGGCTTGTGGTCCAGACAGTTGTATGACTCAGCAAACAGGAACAGCAGGGCTTGGGGAGGCAGAGAGGAGACCCTCAACCCCAGTGGAGAGGCTGGGGGGCCTTCTCGTTGGGACCAGAGAACAGGTGGTTGGAAAGGCCAGCAAGCCGGATGGGAGTGGGGAAGCAGCCAGGGAGCAAGCGAGAGAGGCCCCCCTCGCAGTGCGTTCCTCCTTCACCAAGGCCGGGCTGGGCAAACCCCTTATCCCCATTTCTCAAGTGAGAAGATTGAGGCCCAGAGATGCTGGGTGCCACGCCCACTCTGTGAGGCCAGCAAGCAGGTGAGCAGGGCTGGGGTCGCAGCACAGCTCTTGCAGCTCTAGACCAGGCTTTCATCTGCACCTTCCCTGAGGAGTGTGGCTTTCAGCTTCCCCTCTCTTTTTAAAAAAATATTTATTTATCTGATACAGGGCCTCGCTATGCAGCACTGACTCGTAGTGATTCTCCTGTCTCGGCCTCCCTAGCGCTGGAATTGCAGGCATGCACCACTATGCCCTGTTTTGGTGGCTGGCATGGCACGCCCAGGGTTCTAGGGCCAGCACGGAATGCAGTACACAGGACTGAACCCCCGTCCTTGTGCTTGCCAGGCAGGCGCTTAAACAGCCAAGCTATTTCCCTAGCCTTCAGTCTCCTTTCAGTGCAGGGAGTGGGGACTTGTCCTCATCTCTGTTGTGTTTGCTTACTTCTAAATTTTAGACTTTTTATCAGTGGAGGGTGGACACAGCTACACACAAGTCATCTCCGCCCTCCCTCCCAGGGCCCTCCTTCCTCCATCTCCCCTTCCCATCTACGGTGGCTCCCTGACTCCTGTTGTCTACATGTTGATTTACAGTTTTTGAGAGTTGCAGATGACAAGAGTTTAGTGTAAAGTTGCTGAAACCTAAAACACTTTGGGGCTCACAGGGAGAGAGGCTGGCGCTGTCTCCACTGCAGGAGCCCCTGGGGCACTGCAGCTGCCCCTCCACCCTTCAACCTGTGACTTCCGTGTTGCTTCTTCCACCAGATGAGACTCAGAGGCTGCAGGTTAATGGAGGGAAGTTTGGGCCAGTGTAGCTGAAGATCAGAGCTTTCCAGGGTGGCCTGGGGCCCCTTTGGGAGAGCTACTGGTTGTATTTATTTATTTTTGGATTTTCATGACAGAGTCTTGTTATGTCATTCATACTGACCTTGAGCTCCCTATGTAGCCCAGGCTGGCCTCTAACTCATGGCCATCCTGCCTCAGCCTCCTGAGTGCTGGGATGACAGGTGTGCACCACCACACCTGGCAGGGGAGGTCTTCGGTCTCCTCTCTCTGACCTCTGGCATCGCTGACCTCACCGGGGCATGTGACCTGGTGGGTGGCCTAAGTTCCTTCCCTGCTGCGCGGTCCCGGGGGTGGGGGCAGGGGGCAGAGGTCCTGAGCATGTCCCTCTGCGGCTGCAGTGACCTGGAGAGGTCCATGGAAAGGATCCAGCGGGACGCATCGCACAGCCACCGGCTGGTGCCCGGCCCAGAGCTGGAGGAGAAGGCGCTGGTGCTGAAGCAGCTTGGGGAGACGCTGACGGAGCTCAAGGGTGAGGCCTGGGTCCCCGCTGAGCTCCTGGGCCTCGGGTTCCCCCCTGCCCTCTCCGCTCATCCGGCCTGTCCCTGCAGCTCACTTCCCGGGACTGCAAAGCAAGATGCGCGTGGTGCTGCGTGTGGAGGTAGAGGCAGTGAAGTTCTTGAAGGAGGAGCCTCAACGCCTGGACGGGTTGCTCAAGCGCTGCCGCGGGGTCACCGACACGCTGGCCCAGATCCGCAGGTCTCTCGGGGCCGGCCTCGCGTTTCTCGGGGTGTCCCTGCCTGCGCCCTGAGCTCCGGGGTCCCCACAGACTGCCCCCAGGGCTGCAGTTCAGCCCGTCCTATGTGGGCCCCCACCCCAGCCTCAGAGCTCCTCTCACTCCCCACCCCAGGCAAGTGGACGAGGGAGTGTGGCCGCCCCCCAACAACCTCCTGAGTCAGTCCCCCAAGAAGGTAACAGCCGAGACAGACTTCAGCAAGGGTCTGGACTTCGACATGCCACCCCCGAGTCCTCCGCTGAATCTGCATGAGCTGAGTGGCCCGGCTGAGGGGCCCCCACTCACCCCCAAGGGCGGCAACCCCATCAAAGGCCTGGATGCTCCTGGGAAGCGAAGTGCGGACAAGGCAGTGTCCGTGGAGGTACGGGTTTGGCTGGGGCAAGTCTCAGGGGCTCCGCCCAGGCTGGAGTAAGAGGGGACCTTCCCAGATGGGAGTCCTGAAAGTATTGTGAAGGTGACATTAGTCTGGACAAGACGCAGATTTACAAAGCTGTAAGCATTACTCAGTGTGCTGGGCGTGAGGGTGCACCCCTGTCAACCCAGCGCTTCGGTTGCTGAGGCAGAAAGATCACAAATTCAAACCCAGCCTGGGCAACTTAGTGATTCAACAAGGCCCCGTGCCAAAATTTTAAAAAGAAGTGTGTGTGCTGAGATTGCAATTTAGTCCGAAGGCACTGGGTTTAATCCCCCGCACACCAGAAAAGAAAGAAAAGAACATGGTGTCCAAGGAAGGCGCAGGCGAAGGCAGAGGGTCCCTGGGGTTGGGTTTTCTTGAGGCTACTTCCGGTCCCTTGCACGCTGTGACTGGCAGGAGGGCCAGAGCCCTGGCTGGCACAGAGAAGTGCAGCCTGGATCCTGAGCCCCCACCCCTGCCTGACCCCCATGCAGGCTGCGGAGCGGGACTGGGAGGAGAAACGGGCAGCGCTGACCCAGTACAGTGCCAAGGACATCAACCGGCTGCTGGAGGAGACGCAGGCTGAGCTGCTAAAGGCCATCCCTGATCTGGACTGTGCTGGCAAGGCTCCTCCAGGGCCAGCCCCCGCCCCGGACCACAAGCCCCCCAAGGCCCCCCATGGCCAGAAGGCGGCGCCCCGCACGGACCCCAGTGGGAGGAGGGGCTCAGGTATGGGGAGGGGCGCGGAGGAGCACAGAATCCAGGTGCATCCCTAGTCTCAAACCCAGAGCCTGGAGGCGGGGTGGGGGGGGATGGAGGGTGCCCCGAGAGTGCAGCTGGGGAGAGGGAGGGGGAGCCAACCGCGGACCTGACAGTACCCTGAGCAGGGGTCTTCTGGGGCGCCCCCTGTCCTTTGCCGGGGTTTCTTCCCTCCTCTCCCCCTCCTCCTGGAGGAGGAGGCTGTGCTCTGGCCCTCCCTGGCATGAGAGGCAGGGTGTGACCCCAGGGTCGCAGGCTTCTGACCGCAGCCCCTTGGCTGCCTGCAGATGAGCTGACAGTGCCCCGCTACCGCACGGAGAAGCCCTCCAAGTCGCCCCCACCACCCCCTCCCCGCCGCAGCTTCCCCTCTTCACATGGCCTGACCACCACACGCACTGGGGAAGTGGTGGTCACCAGCAAGAAGGATTCTGCCTTCATCAAGGTACCGACACTGGTCGGGGAGGCTGAGTCAGGAGGAAGCCAGAAACGACCCCAGGGAAGCCTTGGGGGGGGGGGACCTTCTGATATCCCCAGGCTGGGCATCGGCCCTCCTGCCACCCCAGACGGATGAGTCAGAGCAGGTAGGGGCGGGGGTGCAAGCCTATGAGTGCCAGGAGTGACCGGGCCTGGTCCTCGCAGAAGGCGGAGTCTGAGGAGCTGGAGGTGCAGAAGCCACAGGTGAAGCTGCGCAGGGCCGTATCGGAAGTGGCCCGCCCGGCCTCCACGCCCCCCATCATGGCCTCAGCCATCAAGGATGAGGATGAGGAGGACCGCATCATCGCTGAGCTGGAGGTGTGTGGGGGCTCGGCTGCTGCCTGAGCGGGGCTGGCCCGGGATTCCATCCTTCCTGCTGTCTTTTTCTCCTCTAATGTAAAATGGAGGGGTCTCGTGTCCCTCCTTGGAAACTTTAGGATTTTGTCATAGTTCCTGAGGTCCCCAAGTACCCCAAGAGCCACTGAAATCCCCATTCCTTTGTATTGTCAGTGTCTTGAGGCCTCCCAGGGCTGCCCCTCAGCTCACCCAGCCTTGACTGCTGTACGAGACCCCTCTCCCCCAAGTCCCTAGAGCCCTGGAGGAGAAGACAGAACAGAGCTGGAGGGTGGCCTCGCTGAGGGCCCATGCTGTTCCAGCACCCCCCGTTGGCCACTGCCCCTCCTTCCTGGTGTCCCCCGCTCCAAAGCTGCCCACCTTCTGCTCCTCAGGTGTTTGAGAGAAGCTCTGTCTCCTCCCTCCCCCCCACGCCCCGCCGCCAGCTGATCCCCACATTGCTGTCCCCCCAGGACCTGGGGCCCCCCAGGGGCTCGGCCCTGGGCCCCCTGCAGAAGGTAACGGGTGCCCCACCTCTCACGGCTCTGCCTGTGCCCCCACACCTGCCTGTCCTCCTCTCACGCTAACCTGCTGCCTCCTGGTAATGCAAGCTCCTGCCACCACCCGCTCCACACACGCAGCGACCCCACCCGCACGCTCAAGACAGCTCGTAACTGGGTCCTCCTTGTGGCCTCCAAGGGACTCCAGCAGCCGGGGTATCTGCTGACCCTGAGTCTGCATTCTCTTACAGGCCTGATTCTAGTCTACCTTGGGGTGTCCTGAGCACCCCATTCCTATTTGCAACCCGGGTTCAGGTCTGACTTGAAGCCCAAGTGTTATCTTGGGCCAAGATTGGAGTTTGTATCTTACTCACAAAATGACTCAGGGTCCATTTCAAAATCTGACTTTGAACCAGGCATGGTGGTACATAGCTGTAAATCCCAGCTACTCAGGAGGCTGAGGCAGGAGAATCATCTTGAGTTCACTACCAGCCTGGAATAACAGGTTTAAGGGCAATCTAGACTCCATAGTGAGACTTTGTCTTTAACATCAATCAGTCAATCAATCAGTCAGTCAATCTGACTTTGAGCCAGGCATGGTGGGTATGCCTGTAACCTGGGCTATGCAGGAGGCTGAGACAGGAGAATCACAAGTTGGAGGCCAGCTTGGGCAACTTGGTGAGATCTTGTCTAAAAATAAAAACATTTTAAAAACACTAGGGATGCTGCTAAGTGGAGGTGCACTCCCAGGTTCGAACTCCAGAAGCACAAAAGCAGAACAGAACAATCAGAATCTGACTGTTCAGAGCCTTTGCTTGGCCCGCCCGTGCCCTGCTCCACGCTGTGCCAGCGGAGGGGCCTGCTTTTCCCCTGCAATGTGCGCCTTGCGCTGGGGCCTGGGCCCCCCCGCGGGTCCCTTCCGGCCTCGCGTCTGCCCCCTCTCGGCGGCGCGGGGTGGGAGCAGCCAGGCCGCTCCCTCTGCCTCAGCATGGGAGTTCTTTCTTCTAACTTCGGTCCCGCTGCTGGCCTGGAAGTCCTTTCTTCTCTCTAACTTCGGTCCCGCTGCACTTACTTCCTCCTTATTCCTTCTTGGAAGGTGGGGACAGAGCTGCTGTCTGCACCCACCAATGGCGTGTGCAGGGGGAGGGTGTGGGGGAGGGGACACCTGTGCTCATGCTGCCTGGTGGGAGGGCCAGCCCCCACTCCGGGGATGGGCACAGTCTCTTGTGTGTGCCAGCTTCTGCCGGGCATGGGCAGCGGCCTGATGGCAGTCACTTGAATCCTGGCCTGGCTCAAGGCCCGGGTCACTTTGACACCCCCCCCCCCGTAGGGGGGCAGGCAGGCATCGGATGGGGGGCAGTGCTCTCTGTCGGGTGGGGGTGGCGCAGAGCAGTCTGGGAGCCGTCTGAGGACACGCAGTGTGGAGAGGGCACCTTCAGGCCGACTGTGCCCTTGGCACCTGGCTCCTGCCCCCCCACGGCTCTGGGGACGGCCCCAAGGGTCCCATGGGCAAGTCCCCTTCCCTGGCCTTGGGGCCTGGCTGACTGTCTGCGTCCTGCGGTGCCATCGGGCAGTGGAGCCAGGCCAGCATGGTGCTGCCCCCCTACCCCCCCCAGCCTGCACCCCACTTCCAGGTAAGCAGGTGGCAGGGTTGAGTGGGTGGCTGAGGGAGGGGTGGCTGAGGTCCCCGGTGCCCCCATGCAGCCCTCTGTGACTTTTAGTAGAAAGAGCCCTGGATGTGGAGTCAGACCCTCTGGGTTCAAATCCTGGCTCTGCTACTAACGAGCTGCAGGTCAGTGGTAGTGGGTGAGTTCTCTGACTGCTCTCACCCTCAGGTCCTCACCTAGACAGTAGGGACAGCAAGAGAGACAGCCGTTCCATGGGCTACAGTAGGCATTAAAGATGAGGTGGCTAGGAGCTGTGGCGCATGACTGTAACCTCAGCTTCTGGGGAGGCTGAGGCAGGAGGGCCATCAAATTCAAGGCCAGCCTGGGCAACGTAGGGAAACCTTGTTCTCAAAAAAATGTCAAAAGGGATGGGGATGTGGCTGGCATGGCTGGCTGCTCAGAACTAGAGGGGAGCTCTGTGGCTGGGGATCACAGGGACCTCTCTGTCCGGAGCTTGGCACAGAGTGGCCTGGTCATGCCTGCCCTGCACCTGGGCAGCGGTCAAGTAGGCAGTTGGCCTGTATTTAGGGACACTCATGCCCTGCCTGCTGCTGTGCCCAACATTGGCCCAGATGGTCTCACTTTGTTCTCTGCTGAGCCACTGACTTGGGGGTGACCTGACCTCCGCTCCAGGGTTTGACGCGGGCTGTGCGAGGTGAATGTGGACTTGCTTCTCTGTAAAGGCCACTGTCACCAGGAGCAGAAGGACATGAGTAGAGTGAGGGAGACTTGAGTTCTAGTCCCAGCTTTCCCTCTGTGTGAGTTCAGTGAGGGCCCCTGCCTCAGTTTCCCTGCTGGTCACCTTACCCCAGCTTGGAGCTTGGTTCATGGGGGTCATAGCCATACCCCTCTCCACCTTTCTTTTTCCCCCAGGCTGCCCCAGGATCTCCGGCCTTCTGCGTCCCCCGGATCGTCCTGACAGAGTGCACCCCGCCCCCTCCAGAAGCTGGGAGTGAAGATCCAGGCCCCTACTTGGCCCCTATGCCGAGACCCCGGACTTTGGCTGGCCCCAGGCCCCAGGCCTTGCCAGAGCTGGTGGCCACAGCCAGTTGGCCCAGGAGCAGCCCGATGCCCATGAAGGACAGGGCAGTCGGGAAGAGGCTGGCAAGAGCCACCTGTCCTCAGGCACCAGCCCTAGATGGGACTCAGGAGACTCCCACAATGGAGATGTGTGCAATGGAGACCCCCAGGAATTTGGGTCCTGGGATGCAAGCCTGCTGTGGGGAGCGGCCCTCAGGTGGCCCAGGCTGCGCGGTGCGGAGGGACAGCCTGGAAGAGACACTGCGGGAGCTGGAGGCCGCGCTGAACGAGCTGGCTGCAGCCCCTGCTGCTGCAGTAGCTCCTACTGCTCCCCACCTCCCACTCCCCAGATCCCAGGTGGCTGCCTCTTCTGTCCTCCTCCGCCGCCCTGCCACCCCAGGCTCTGGACCTTTGGAACAACAGCCACCTCAGCCCACTCCCCACCCTCTCAGGAGCCTACAGCCAGGCCAGGGCTGTTGGGCAGAGCCAGGGTAGGCTGGGAAGCCAGCCCCTCCAGGACTCAGCCTTCTGTACCCTGGCAGGGACTGGGGGCCGCTCCCTCTCTGCTCTGTATCTATGAATCCACAAATAAAGTTCTCTCCCCCTTTCTGTCCCCACTTCCCTCCTCCTGTCTCTGACTTTCTCTGTCTCTCATTTCTGTCTTGATGTCTCGGGTCCCCAGAGTCCCTCTGTGCAGGCTTGGTACCTGAGGCAGTTCAAAGAGCTAGGCTTAGCTGGGCATGGCGGGACATGCCTGTGATCCCAGCACCCCAGGAGGCTGAGGCAGGAAGCTCAAACCTGAGCCCGACCAGGGCAACTTAGTGACAACACAGTCAGATTTTTGTCTCTGAAATTTAAAAAGAAGTGGGGGAGGGTGGTATGGGATGAGGATCAGTGTACGGGGTTCAGTCTCAAGTATGAAAACAAAACAAAACAGCCTTGCCCACCTCTGGGAAGACCTTGCCTGCTCCCCATGAGGAGGATGCCAGGCCTGCTCTGCCTTCCCCAGCTCGGGTACAGAAAGGGGACCTTCCTTTTAGAAGTGGCCTCCCTGGAGGGCAGTGTGCCATTCGGGGCCCGGAACTGTCCTCTGGGGGCCACCTGGGCTTGGGGTGGCCTGGAGACCTGGCCTAGGCTGTCCCACCTCACCCAGGAGGTTCTGGCCCAGCCCCCAGTGGGTGTAGGTGCCCCTGAGCCTGCACCCCAACCCCGTTTCTCTTTCTGCAGAGTGGCGGTGGCAGTGTGCCACCCATGAAGGTGGTGACCCCTGGGGCCTCACGGCTGAAGGCGACCCAGGGCCAGGCAGGCAGCCCAGACAAAGGCAAGCACGGCAAGCAGCGGGCGGAGTACATGCGGATCCAGGCCCAGCAGCAGGTGAGGTCCAGGACGGGGTGCCCTGCTGGCCACTGACCCCATGACCGCGGCCCTCCACACCCTGCTCTGGGACCCTCTTCTCCTCAGTGCTGAACGCTGAATCTGGTTTAGAGCAGGAATCCTTAGCCAGACATGGTGCTCTACAGTGACCAGCACTCAGGGAGGCTGAGGCCAGAGGACTGAAGTCACCTAGTCTGGGCGACTTAACGACTTAAAAAGATGGTCTTAAGGAAGGAAAAGGAGCTGAGGATGTAGCTCAGAACAAAAGCTCTATGAAGCTCAATCTTCAGTACCCCCCAAAAGAAGAGTTCTTAGCCAGGCCCTACCCCTCAGGACCCCCTTCAGCCTGGTGGAGGGGCCAGATGGTGCCCTCCGAGGACCTTACACTCACCCTGCCACCCTCTCCAGCTGTGCTCGCAGGCCCTGGCCCCACACAGCTCCCAGACTTGGATGTCCTTGGGTCCCCATATCTCTGTCAGGGCCTGGGACAGGGGCCATGTGGCTCGGTCCCCAGCTGGGAGGGCAGGATAGGAGGTCCACATGCGTCAGGCCCAGTGGCTTTGCCCTGACTTCCAGAAAGTTCCAGGCTCAGAGAGCCTACAGAAGGGTGAGCAGTCACCCCTGCTCTAATGGGGGAACAGTTCCACATGGAAAAGGACTTCCCAGAGCCCACCAGCAGTGTGTGGCACCCCGGCCTGGCCTGGTCCCCAGCATCCAGAGCCCCTCCCTTGCATCATCTTCCTCCCAGAACCCAGTTGTCCTCCTGCTGCCCGTGTGCATGAGTGTCCCTGTCCTGACCAGGTGGGGAGACTGAAGCCTTGAGCAGGGCCTTAACAGGCCTGCTCCTCACGTGCATGCCCAGCCCCTGCGCCCCAGTGCCCCGCCCTGTGGCCACCATCCTCTCTACCTGCCTCTCCCCACCCTCAGCACCATTCATAGCCACCTGCTCACCCCTGCAGACCTGACTGCCCTCTGAATGCTTCTCTTCTGCCTACCTCTGGGACCTCAGCTCCTTGGCCACGCTGTCCCCTACCAGTGTCACCTGTTGTAGCTGTCCCCTTGGGAAGCCCCGCCCAGCCACACCACCTCAGTGTGCCTGGCCTCTGGCCCCAGGCGCCTGCATAGCGTAGGTGTGGCTCCCTGGTAGAGCCTTGCCCAGCCTGGAGAGGCCCTGGGTCCCAGCTTCAGCACGGGGGAAGAAAAAGGGCAGAGCCAGGATGTGTCTTAGTGGCAGAGCACCTGCCTGGCAAGCTTGAGATTGTGAGTTCCAGTCCAAGCTCAAATAGATAAATAAGTGGCTTAGAGCTGGCCAAATAGCTCAGCAGACTAAAGCGCCTGCTTAGACAGGCACAGCAGCCAGGATTCGATCCCCCTGCATGCTGTGCTGGCCCTGCCCCCAGGGCACGCTGAGATGACAGTTGAGACTAGGCGTGGGGACACAATCCTATAATCCCAGTGCTTGTGAAAGCTGAAAACAGGAGAATTACTACGAGTCTGATCTATGTAGTGAGACCCTGTAAACCCTGTACTAAATGTATAAATAAAATAAAATGACAGGCTTGGTGGCACAAGCCTGTCGTTCCAGCTCTCAGGAGGCTGAGGCAGGAGGATCTTTGCAAAGTTCAAGACCAGCCTGGGCTACAAAGTGAGCTCAAGTTCAGCCTGAACTGCATAGCAAGACCCTGTCTTTAAAAAAGACAAAACAGGGGCCAAAGAGATGGCTCAGTGGAATAAGTGCTTCCCTGGCAAGCGCAAGGGCCTGAGTTCAATCCCCCGTTCCACCAAAAAAAAAAAAATAAAAAGACAAAACAGAACAAAAGCTAGAGGTGCAGTCACCCTGCTGTGACTGCCTGTCACCTCTTGCCTATCTTCTGACACCTGCAGGAATGCAGTTGCCAAATGTAGTTTTTTTGTTGTTTTTCAGTATTGGGTGTTGAACCCAGGGCCCTTGCATCCCCAACGTTTTTGCTGCTTTGAGACAGGGTCTCTATAAATTACGCAGGCTGGGTTCAAAATTGTGATCATCCTGCCTCGGCTTCCTGGGGTGCTAGGATCACAGACGGGGTCACCATGAGGAGAATGTGGATTCTGATTTCTCCCTCAGCTGACAGCCACGGCCTGCACCCTAACCTGAGTCCCTGAGCTGGCCAGGGCTTTTCCTGGCTGCTCGGCGCACAGCCGGGTTCTGTGTCACCTGCAGCGTGTGCCCGGTGCCCTCCCAGCTCAGCTCCTCCAGCCTCTCACACAGGAAAGCCAGTGGGGCTCAGAGGTCACATATGCCAGGTACAGCAGGGGCTTTGGGAGCCACCAGGCTCTGCAAAAGCAATGGCAGGGCAAGAGCCCTTGAACTCTGTGCTTGGCACCCATCAGAGGGTGGAACCAGGTTCTTGGGGTGCAGGGATCAAGGGTGTGGAAGCCACAGACTCCCCGCTTCTGTGAGGACCAATTTGCAGGTCTCCTTCGGGCTGCCCAGTGCTGAGCCCCCCACCCTTGCCCCTGCCCTGAGGGCTGAAGGCTCAGACAGCACTGGCAGGAGGCTGTGATCTTCCCAGGGTGAGGGCAAGGGATGCAGCCATGGCCCCTGACTCCTGCTGGTCCCTGGGTAGCACTGGGAGAGGCCCAGCGCTCAGGCTGTGGGGAGGCGATCCACTTCCGGCCGGAATCAACCAGGACTGGAACAGGGCTGCCAGAGACCCTGGCAAGAAGAATGCCAAGCGGCTGTGACGTTTGTGCCTCATGGCCCACAGGACCAAATTCTTCTCCAGACAAGATTTGAACCCATGGGGGACCATCCAATGATAGAATACAAGAAAGTGGGGCTCTGAGGCAGAGTCACCTGAGAAGGCCAAGAGGCCGGGATGGGACCCCCAAGCCTGAAGCTTTGGGATGGAGCCTGGGAGCAGCGCTGTGGCCAGTCTCGTGGGAGGGAGGATGGCCCACAAGGACGCAGCTGCATGGAGCCATGAACTGAAGATCTGGTTCTGGCTGGGGCAGCGGAGTCAGCTTCAGGAAGGGTCAGCTTCGGGAGGACAGGGAGGACATGTGATGTGGCTTGCCTGCGTGACTGTCCCCATCAGAAGGCAGGGGTTCCAAAGACTGAAGCTGGGAATAGACCAAGGACTTTGAAGAATGCTAATGGGAAAGAACAGAAGCTCTTAACTAGAAAGACCCACTGGAGAACAAAGAGGACATCCTAGAGGGAGCAGAGCGACACCTGGCTTGGGGACACCACGGGAGGAACGAGGAGGAGAGGAGAAGAAGAGAGGAGATGGCAACAGTCAAAGAGCCTCCTATCCTCCCTGCCAGGGGAGGACATTCCATGGGGAGGCTGGGGCTGAGCCCAGGTTGGGACGGCACAGGACAAGCACCTGCCACCTTGGAAGGAGTTTGTGCTGTAGCCACAGGGCCTGGCCCGTGCGGGGATAGAGGATGGGTAAATCGGTGTATCCTGCTACCGAAGCCCTGGAGGCTTGGAGGACTGGAGAGCGGGCACAGCAGGCAAGGGGCAGAAAGCTTGAGGGGCAGCAGTGGGGTGGTGGAGCTGGGCTGCGCCTGGAACCGGCAGCTTGTGCATTTGTGGAGGAAGAAATGGTCACCCATGAGCAGGTCCCTGCCAGGCAGGCATGATGTCCTGCGGCCCTGCAGCCTATAGAAGGCGCGTTTGCTTGGGACACTGGCTCTCCCCCACCTCCTGCAAAGCATCTGGAAGCCCAGCCTATGACAGCATAGGTCCCCAGGGAGGGGAGGGAGCCTGCTAGACCACAGCTTGTGTCTCTGGTGACAGGCCACAGGAATGTCTTCAGACTTTTTTATATATATTTTTTGAGACAGGGTTTCCCTGTGTAGCCCAGCCTGGGCCTCAGACTCCTGGCAGTCCTGCCTTAGCTTCCCAGGTGCCAGGGTTACAGGCGGGCACCATCACCTCTGCTCTCTTCCACCTTCTTTTCATTTTTATTTATTTTTTCCGGAACCAGGGATTGAACTCAGGCCCTTACACTTGCCAGGGAAGCGCTTATTCCACTGAGCCATCTCCCCGGCCCCCTCCATCTTCTTTTTAATCATGGCTGTTTAACCGAAGGCTGAACAGCCCTAACGCAGAAGTTCGTCAGTAGTATAGCAGGGCACCTCCTCCTCCTGCACATCAGAGTCCCACCTGGAAGGCCCAGGAATCGGCATGTGTAACACATGCCAGGCATTGTCCCCCGAAGGTGATCCAGGTGGCTCTCAAGCCACTCCTGGGACCACAGTATAGAGCTGGGGCCGTGGGAGGTGAGCAGGCAGGGAATGATGGCCCCGTTGAGGACATGGTCTCCCTGTTCTACACGGGACCAGGTGGCCTTTCTGGCAGCTAGGTTCAGAGTGCGGCCTCCTGGAGGGTGGCCTGGGTCCTTCTGGGAAGTGTGCCTGGTCCTGTCAGGGGCCTCTTCCTGGCATCTTAGCATCACGGAGGCCAGAGGGGACCCTGACAGCTGGATAGGTGCTGACCCCTCCTCCTGTTCCTGTCATAGCCACTAACTCTCGCTTCTTCTCCCCCCCACCCCCCATCCCCTCCACCTGTCCTGAGCTCGGTCTCTTGTCCTCTGTGGTGTCTCTCTTCTTCCTTCTCTCTCTCCTGTCAGTAACCGTGCCTCCCACCCCTCCCCACTTCCTCTCTGCTCCTGCCAAGCCCCCCTTCGTACAACCCCAAGGCAGGGCTCTGCTTCTCCCCCAGTGGCCCTCCAGGGTCTCCTCTTGAATCTTGGAGGTTTCCTTTCCTCACGCTTCAGCTGGGGCCTGGCATGAAGGCCACCTCCACTGTCTCTGACCCCGACCCCTGTTTCTGTTCCAGGCCATTAAACCATCTAAAGAGATGAGCGGGTCGAATGAGACCTCGAGCCCAGTGTCAGAAAAGCCCTCGGCTTCCAGAACCTCCATTCCCGTATTGACTTCCTTTGGGGCAAGGAATTCTTCCATCTCCTTCTAGAACCTTCTAGAAGCCCCTCACATTCCCCCCCCCCAGCCCGTCTCCTCCTTCCTGCCATCTCTCCCTACTCGTCTTCTCTTCATCCCCCACACCCTGCCCTTTCCTGTGGGCCCTCCAGGGTCCCCACCACATGGTCCTCTCCCTTGTTGGTGTTTTTGGTTTTGTTTTGTTTTTTTTAATGATTCACTTTTAATTGTCTTTTTTAAAAAAGCAGAATAGTACAACTAAAAACCAAACACACCACTTTCCCCAACTTCCTGTCCCTGATGGCCTCTTCCTGTCATTGTCTGTCCCTTCTCTCTCTCACGCTTTTCCCCAAAGTCCATCCTGCAGCTCCTGCCCCATCCCCCTGCCCGCCTTCCCCTCACCTGAGGAAACTCCAAACAAACTCTGAGCTTCGGAGACTTGGAGCAGCGAGAGAGCCTCCCCTTCTCTGCCACCGCTTCCTGGAGGAGCATGAGGTCGGGGCCGCCCCAGCTTCCGGCTGGACCACGGGACTGGGGATGGGGGCGACTCTGGCCTGGAGATATCCTGCTCCTCAGCCGAGCTGGGACCCGGCTGGATGCTGCCGCTGCTCTGCTCCTTCCTGCCTTGCCCGGTGCACTTGGAGGCCAGAAAGACAGTGGGGATCACAGAGGGACGAAGGCCGGCCCGACAGGGCCCAGGCTGGGTGTGCAGCTGTGGTGACCAGGCCTTGTGTCCCTGGAGGCCACTGCCGCGGGCAGAGCAGGAGGCGCTAGGGACACTGGAGTGGAGGGAGGTCTTGGGGACAGCCTGCCACCGGGCCATGGGGCCTGAAGGAGCATTCCTACTTTTAGTTTCTTAATTTAGCACTTTAACACCATTAACTTATTCAGTGAGGGTGGGTGGGTGACAGAAGGGCCTGGCAGACTAGGTCTGGAGGCCTGAGGGTGGGAGGAAGATGGGGAGCAAGGCCCGGGGCTTTGGGGGGCAGTGAGGACAGCTCTGACCCCACAGGTTGGGATGGCCGGACTTCAGCATCCTTTTTGTGACTTGAGGGCTTTCAGGGAGGGGTGTGACATGGGGACCTGGTGATTGTGAGGACAGGTCCTGGAGTGGAGGGGAAGGGGACCTTAGCTCTCTGGTGCTGGGGTCCCCAGGGCCAAAGGGAGGCGGGAGAGGAGGAGATGGAGTGGTGCCCCAGAGGACAGGGTTCCAAGCTGGAGCACAAAGGTAGAGCAAGCACAGGGAGGGGACATTGTCCCCGAAAGCACAGAAAGGAGGAGCCATTAAGGGGACACAACCCTTGTCCCTGGGGGCCGGTGGAGGCCCCAGAAGCTGCTGAGCATTGGGGAGGGGACCACGCTGTTTCTTCATTCCTTTGGGATTATTTTTGGTTTCTGTTTGGTTGGTTCATCCTTGTTTTCTAGCTTCGGACCATTTTTGTACCAAGGCAAGTGAGCCTTTTTGAAAAATAACAAAAGAAGAGGAAAAAAAAATCCCTCCCAGAAAAAAAAAAAAAAAATCACAAAAAAACCTAGAAAATAGGGGAAAAAAAAAAAAAGGACCTCATAAATGATGCAATTACTTTTAATTGCAGGCAACTCTTTACATTTAAGTGAAGTGTCTTAACATTTTATATTGTTTTAAAAATATATTTACATATTATATATATAATATACGTAATATAAATATATATAAATATTTAAAAAGAAAAAAGGAACCCACGGCCCTCTCTCCCTGGCCGCTGTCTCAGCGGGGCCGGGGCCAGGGGACAGCAGCGGGCACGGTTGGGGCTGTCCAGGGAGGCAATGGCGATGCTTAGGTCGGGGACAGAGACCCGGCTCGGGAGGGGAGGGGGGAGTGGTGCCCCCTCCTCCCTCCCCCCATGACTGCTTGCTGCTCTGCCTGCCCCCCTCCTCAGCGCTGTGACCTGAGTGCGTACCCTACTGTCATTGTCCTCAGTTGATGTCCCTGTGTGGGGGCGGGCAGGGCACGTCCATCCTTGGGGCCCACCCCTCCCACTGCCCTGGAGTCCAGGGGGACCCGCATCTTCCTCGCTTCAGCTCCTGCACACGAGCGGGCGGGGAGGCGCTTGCTTGCCACTGTGCAGCCTGGGTGTGTGCAGCTGTGTGCGTGTGTGCACCGGCCCAAGGCCTCAGCTGTGCGTGCATTTGCATGAGGTGTGTGTGCATGGGGATGGCCTGTGTGTGTGTGCGCGTGTGCGTGTGTGTGCGCGTGTGCGCACGCGTGCGCACGAAGGTACGTGTAAGCTGCTAAGGCACTGGCAGGTGCCTGCCTGCGTGTGCATGAGAGGAGCTCTGCGCGTGAGAACACGGGTAGCGCGTGTGCAGCTGAGCGTGGCTTCCAGACACCTGTCACTCACGTGGGGGCTACAGGCGTGGACGCGGAGGCGCGAGGGAACTGTCTGTGGCTTTGTGTGTGGGCACGTGTGTGCTGGTGCAGACCACAGTGCGTGTGCATGCGTGTGCGTGCGCGTCCCATCACCCCCGCACCCCGCCTGACTCCCTTTCCGGTCCCCTGACTCCCCAAGCCCACAGCACGTCCGCACCCCGCTGCATGCACCTCGCTGCCCCCCGCCCGTGTGTGCTTGACAGACACCCGGGTCGCCCACGCTGCTCCGCACATGGGGCCTCTCGCCCGCCGCCCCATGCTGCTCCCCGGAGCCCGCCCGGGGCTCTGCGCGTGGTCCCAGGCCCCGGGCCAGGCTCAGCGCCACCCTGCCCCGTCCACCCCGTAGGGACCGTGTTGGTGTAGCAGTGACAGCTTCTGTGGATGTTCTGTGACCTCTGTCGGTGTAACTTGACAATTTCTAAATGGAAAAGGGTTGCTGTGTTTTCTGTCTCTTTTTCAACGTCCTTTTTTCTCCCCACCTCCCCGCTCTCTTTCCTTTTCGGTTTTTCTAGCCAAGTGTTTGGGGCTTTAATAAAACTTGTTTCTCTTTCCTCTCCTGGATCTCCTTCCTGTCCTCTGCTGCCTCGTTCTTCACCCGTGAGGGCCGGGAGGCGTGGAGTAGGGACACTCACAGCCTGCAGGGAAGGACGGGCTCCCACCTCCCCGAGGCCGCGAGAACCAGGGACCCAGTGGCTCCCAAGGGCCAGTGCTGGCCGGCGGCAGCGTCCTGTCTCAGCCTCCTCCTCTGGGCACTCCCTGCAGCTGACAAAACTCGCATTCACACAACCAGAAAGCCAGCTCTCTTAGTCACTTTCTTGTTGCTGGGCCAGAAATACCCAAGGCTCACAATGAAAGGAAGGCGAAGTTCATTCTGGCCTACGATTCCATCAGCCAGCTGGCTCCTAGAAGAGCAGCAGAGAAGAGCAGAAAGGCTTGGGGCGTTGGCTCAGTGGAATAAGCGCTTTCCTGGCAAGCGCAAGGCCCTGAGTTCAGAGAGAGAAAGTCAGGCCTAGGGCAGGGCAATTGCCTAGGGGCAACTGCCCAGGGCAGAGCCACCGGGAAGCCCTGAGAAGGGCGGGGCCTAGGAGACCGCCTCCGGCCCCACCCACTTCCGGCCCCGCCCCCACAAGTCAGTTGTGAGCTCTGTGATCAGCCACCTTCCAAAAGCCCCACCTGGGAGCATCTGGGGTTCTTGGGGCACTCTAACCATAAACCACTGAGCCAGCCTCCCACACAAACCAAGCAGGGTCTGATCACTCTGAATCTTCTGGAGTAGCCGCCTAAGGACTTCCGAGATGGTGACACGACCACACACTTGCCACCTCGGTGCCTCTCACACACACACACTCCACAGCACAGCATATGGCAACCCCGTGTCTTGTGCCTTTGTCCTCGAAGGTCCTGTGCGGCCCGGGGCTGCTCCTCCCCATGTCCTGGCTGAGGCCTGGAGCTTGTCTCTTCGCCCCTCGCCCCAGCACCACCACTTCTTCCCCTTGTGTAATCTCAGCGTCCTGGGGCCACAGTCTCCAAGCCCACTCCGGAGCCCCCTTTGTGTGGACCTGCGGACTCGCACAGGGCCACTCCTCCTGCCGTGGGTCAGTCACCCTGTGTCCCTTAGGATGTTAGCAGATCTTGCCTCTCTCTCCCATCCTAGTTCAACTACCTGCCAGGCTTGTGCCAGGCGCTTCAGGCACACTCTCTGCACCTGCCGGATGCTCCGGGAACAAGGCTCTTCCTCTTGGGGGAGCCAGCCAGAGAGCCTGGGCATGGAATAGACCACGCAGGCACTAAGAAGCAGAGGGCAGAGGCAGTGAGGTACCCAGCACTGAGTGTGAGCAGGCCCAGGGGACACATCTTTGTGAAGACCTTAGGAATTAGGAGTGGCAGCTACACACAGTGGTGCACACCTGTAACCCCAGCCTCCTGGGAGGCTCAGGCAGGAGGATCCCAAGTTCCAGCCCAGCCTGGGAAACTTAGTGAGACTCTATGTCAAAATAAAAACATAAAGGACTGGGGATATAACTCAGTATGAAGAATCTCAGATTCAAACCCCAGTACCTG